AATATTATGTCATCCTCTCACCAAAACACAACTCAATTATACCACGTAATTTGGCTTGGATAGTATGCTGTGGTATAAGCGAGAGTTGACTGTACACACAACAGTTATATATCACAGCAATCTTCTCTCTTTCTCAAGATCGGGAAGTACCTCCTGGTACAGTCGGTCCACAGATACAGGTTCCAGTCATACAGAGAGGTCCCCCTGGTACAGTCGGTCGGGCCCGAAAGTATGGTCTGTATACGATAGAGTGGAAAGTCGCGGTGAATAAGAAAGTCCTCTCACGAGATACAGAAGAGGACGTAGCCTTGGCTCCGAGCGCTTACTGGCAGATGACCCTGAAGGGTAAGTTGGAGAAGTTATTAGAAGGAAAGATCCCCGGTAAAGGAAGGGTAAAGTCGGACGACACCACGATCGTTGTGTCGGTGAATGATCGCTCCCAACGCGACCTGACGAAACGATTTGATCATCTCGACATCGACTGGACTGCTGTGGAAAAGCAGCTTCTTAGGTGGGGTGAACTTTGTCGTCGAGGCAAGAAACTGAGGTTGAGTATCACCTTTAAAAATGTGGAGGACGACCGTCTCTCCAAAACTACCTCAGGTAGGGTCGAAAAAAGAGGAAGGTCATCGGTCACCAAACGAATGCTCAATGAGCGAGACGCCCAATTGGACGCCGAAGAAAACGCATCTGGGCAAGAATCAGTTTGGTGGAGTGTTTACAACCTGATGCGTTGCCCATCCTCCTCATGCCACCTTGGCCCACATTGCTGGCAAGACCCACCCGGGAAAAAACACTATGGATTGAGGAGCCATCATTTAAAGCGTCTAATCGCCTTTGTGGAGAAAGGCGCCACCTTACAGTCTCATGAGGACGTTCCGGACAATTTTCGTGAAGAGCTATATATGGAAGAGCGGCACAGACTAGAGAGCCAACAATCCAAGAACAACAAGATGGTCGGCGGCACAGGAAGCTGTCTTCCTATAAGTATCAATTTCAATGGGATGCAACCTTTCCCTCAGTCAGAAGAGTCCAACCCAACCGCGGCCTCAACCATGCCTATGCCACTAAAAGGCCAAGTCATGAATGACCTCATTATTCCTGGACTACGAGACGTGGCTGTCAGAGACTACAGCGCATGGCATGAAGCAAATGTCAGTGACGACAGCTTGAAAGCCCAATTTCGGCAAACATGCAATGTGGCGTTGGCCAATGGTTTAGACCTTAGAATGATCCATGAGGACCAAGATCCGTCATTCTTCATCGACAAAGGGATTATGGTAGGTATCGCACGCCAATTCGTGAGAGATATTGGCGAATGGGTTAAGTGTGTGAGAGATGTCTCGCCGGTTGACCAAGCTACGCAGGCCGCAGCTTGAACGTGCAGGAAGGCGTAAGAAGGCGTTAGTATAGACACTAGGTTGACTCTTAATCAATTCTATTTGATGCAACTCCTTCAGTTAATGACTAGGCCACAAATGTGGGAACACAGAACTTAGGGCTAGCAGGGAATTGAGCAATTTTGGTAACTTTTGGTGTATATATATGATGTTACGACCCAGCGCTATCACCCTTCAAATGCTTATATTTGTGAGGGTCAATGACCACGCCAGCATGTCGGAAATGACCTAAAGCACTCTGTTTTCGAGATCCAACCACCTCAATACACCACTCGAGGAAAGTTTGAAAACCTTGTTCTGAGTCTTCTTCATACCGCGCCCAGTTCCGTCGAATGAATGCTTTCAATTCTGAGAAGAACTCCTCGATAGGATTCAAGTCAGGTGAGTAAGGCGGCAGATACACTAGTTTTACTCCTGCTTCAATGCACATTTCCTCGATACGATCAGAACGATGAAAAGATGCGTTGTCCATGACTAGAACGGACTTAGGCTCAGGCCATCTTCCACAATGCCGAAGAAGCTGATCAATGAAGTCCTCGAAGACTGCAGCATCCGTGGATCCCTGAAATATACGAGAGAGCACAATCCCATCTTGGCAATATGCGGGCAGTATCTGGTACCGCTGGTCACGATGGAAGTTGGCTATCTGCAATGGTGCTGTGCCTAACGGAGACCAGCCTGTCCGTCTGAACCCAATTCGTTTATCACATCCAGACTCATCCACATAAACCAAGTGATACGACTGAAAGTCCGACAGGTTATGCATATAATAATCACGTAAATCCGCATTCTGTTCCTTTGCTCTTTGCCGAGCCACCTTCTTCGACCAACCCACCGAAGCGAGAGCCCTTTTGAGGCTTGAATTTGTGACCTGGACACGGAACTCGTCCCATAAGAAGACTGTCATCTCATCCACATATAGCCCGGGTTTTTCGAGGAGGCGATCACACAGTGCTTCTATCATCGGAGGAGTTATGCTTCGTCGTCGACCGACTCGAGTTGGGGGTGCTCTAACATTTCCGAACTGGCGGAGATTGTTGCTGATGTTGATGATGGAACGCTTACTACATTCAGCAGCTTTGGCCATTTGCGAGGCAGTCAGTGATTTGCTCAATATCATGTGCTGGATCATTTCAAGCTTTGAGAGAGGGAGTCTTGGCGCCATATTGCGAAGAGAAGTCTGGACGTTGATGTAGGAGAGCTTTGGCAGAGGCAGTGGTCGACCGCCGGGAGGGGGTTGGATAGGGAGCGACTCCATCTGCTCACCCTTGCTCACCCCTCTGCTCAGTGAGCAGGTAAAATGAATTTAGGTGAAAATTCTGGGGGATGCTGGCTATTAGGAAATGCACGTGACATGGGCGATCTCGCAGTTCCTGGGAGCTTGGGGGCCCATCTCAAAGCTGCGGACCTCGAAAAAAGTGGTTGCTTGGCTGGAAAACCATACGTTCACCACAGCAACAACAAAATGCGATCTCAAAGTATCCATCATGTACTTGAAAAAGCCGGCAGCAATAAGCTCTCGAATTGATACTGTCAAAGCATGCTTTTCACCCCGCGGGACCTGGCTGATTATCGCGTGCTGCGCTTAATCTGAGTGTTCTGGCTCGGGTCGATCCAGTTCCTGGGAAGGTGCTAGTCCTGCCCCACGGCTCGACGTGGGTGGCCTGCAAATCTGGTCTCCTGTCTTAGCACCGCGGAGCCGAGTCACCTGATGACGTACCCCTCCTTCAGTTGAGAGCCTGAGAAGAGCTTGTAATGAACTACAGACAGGCAAATTTATACGACCATGGCGTCGACAAGTCACTCTGGTGTCAATTATGGAGCCCAGGTGGGAATCAATTATGGCACATTCACGGCAGACTTTCATCTGCCACCGGGTAAGTCAGGAACGGAACCAAACAAGGTCGAGACCGACTGCTGATTGCCGCTTCCCTCTAGAGCGGCCAGAAACTCCGCCCAGCCCTTTGTCAACTGTGCCATTCACGCGCGACCCAGATTTTGTCCGTCCGAGACACTGCTTGATCAGATCTATAGTAAGAACTCGGTCGCGGGCTCGAGAATAGCGCTGATTGGCCTCGGCGGTGTTGGGTAATGGTATTGCGGCTCTTACGTGGTCTATTGCTGACAACTCGAAGAAAATCGCAACTTGCGATCGAATACTCCTACCAAGTCCGATCCAAATCACCGGCAACATGGGTTTTCTGGGTCCATGCGAGTAATGAAGCCCGATTTGAGCAAAGTTTCCGGGACTTCGCGGACCAGGTTAAAATCCCGGGTCGTCAAGATGCTAAAGTTAACATATTTAGACTGGTGGAAAACTGGCTCCGGGATGAAAAGATAGGAAATTGGGTTTGTGTCCTTGATAATGTCGATGACGATCAGCTTCTTTGCTCGGTTCCGGGGGCGGGCAAGCGAGATCCGATGAGCGGCTCAACGATCGCCTCGACAAAACCACTCTTAGAATACGTTCCTAGAAGCCGGAATGGCTCTATCATCATCACGAGCCGGACTAGAGAGGTTGCGTTGAAGATGGTCCATCACAGCGACCTCATTGAGGTTAAACCCATGGAAAAGTCCGAAGCGCTAGAGCTTCTCCAAAGAAAGCTTGAACAACCAGGAGAGAGCCAAGAGAGTCGACAGTTAGTGAACGCGTTAGAGTCCATGCCGCTAGCGATCGTACAGGCCGCTAGCTATATTCGAAATCGGGCGCCTCGGTCTTCGGTATCACAATACTTGAAAGATTTCCTAGGGAGTGACCGTGAAGCAACAAAGCTTTTGAAAAAAGAGGCGGGTCACCTCTACCGGGACTGGGAAGCAAAGAACTCAATTCTGGTGACGTGGCAAATATCATTTGATCATATACGCCAAACAAAGCCGTCTGCAGCGCAGTTGCTTTCTCTCATCAGCTTTTTCGATCGGCAAGGAATACCCGAGAAACTTATCCGGCATCGGCCTAAGGCCAACTACACATCAAGTTCAGAACTTCCGACCGACCCCAGTGACGGAGAGACATCTGATTCTGATTCAGGCCCACATGGTGTATATGAGTTTCCCCTGAACGCGAGGAAGCTACCTTTCTTTTGCTTCCTCGCGCTACGTCTTGTATCTAGAGTCGACTATAGTTAGCTTTTTTTAATATTGATTACTCATCTGGAAGACTGTCCTCATCTACGGATACGTGAGACCTTCACACTCCTAGAAATGCTTTGAGGATCCTAGAGTCAAGTTAAGAAGCACAAGAGTTTGTCAGTCTCTCGCCAGTCCCCGAGTTGTGTTTTTTCTGCCAACAATCCCGTCTTCATGCGACACGGCCCCACTGAGATGAATCCATATCTGTATTTCTTTGGCCACCGCGGTTAGGTATGACGAGAAAAAAAAATTATTATCTACCGGCACTATTTCGAGCTAAGGCAATTTTGAAATAGGTGAGGCTGTCAATAGCTGGCCTTCATGTCAGGTTATGTGAACTCATTTCCTTGAAATCCTTCTCATACATTGCTCCTGTCACGTGATTACACGGAACGGAACACATCCGGCGTTCACGCCCCCTTCCCAGGGCGTTTCCTTGTCAATTTCTCCGAACAATCACGATAACCTACTATGACACGCTGCTTCAAAAAGGTTACCAGACTAGACTACCTTCCAATACTACTAGTCTCATCTCGTCCTTCACTTCCAGTTTACCAATCCCTTTTCCGTCCTCGAAAGCTCGACTCAGGACCTTTCACCCGGTTGGGCACCACAATGGCCGAGAACTATCGCATCGAGTACAACTGGATCAAGGGTGTGGAGACACTCGAAGGTTACCAGCCTGGGGGACCATCCCATCATGATTGGTGACGTGCTACATGACCGTTATCATATTGTAGACAAACTTGGTTTTGGGAGCTATTCGACTGTTTGGCTTGCCCGAGATACTCATCTGAGCCGATATGTTGCTGTGAAGGTCAACATAGCCGACTCGAATCCGCGCGAGATGGTGTTCATTCAAGAGTAAGAAAAAGAGAGAAGAAGCATGGTGTCTAGATACATGCACGCGATGATCCAGCAGTCAAACCCCTCCAACCTCTCGTTCCCAATGTTTACTGCTCAATCGCGTGAAGATAGATGGCAACTTCCCGGCTGAAAATATGATCCTTGAGGAGTTGGTCGGCAGATTCAACAATCCATGTCTGACAGTTCTTCTGGGTGATTTCCTGCTGGGTGTGGCCTGAAATTGTTAGTCGTCATATAAGACAGATTTCTCGCAATTTATAGAACTCACCGCGCTACTGGTTGTATTCAGAGACTTCCCCGGAACTTTCACTTTATAAGCACTGGTCTCGAAGGGACAGACAGGCACATTTTCGATTTTTCGTTCGCCGTTGTTGAGCATAGCCTTCTCATCAAAGTACTTCCCATCGACCCATTGCAGCGGGACTCTCATGGTTGGACGATTGGGGGTTTTTTGCAAGTCATGGCTGCGCTTGATTTCGAATACAAACCCATTCCTCACATCACCGGTCGCGTGTATCATAACGCCAATGTCCGGACTGGTGTGTGAGCGTACCCAGTACCCCCAGTGATCTTTGAAGGGCGAGCCGTTATAGATCAACAGCTCGACCATAAAGGCATCGATGGGTCCTGTCGGGGCCACCTGCGGCGGCTTAGAGGCCAGAGAAGTGGGGGCCATGACGGCCGGCGGAGGTGGAGGAGGTGGTGGGGCGACAATAGTTATAGGTGGGGAAGGCATGGTGATAAGGCAGCTCTTTCGATAGATGTTATGGTACAAGAATGTTCCTCAATTCTGTGTGCGGATTGACGAGAAATTTAGAATGCAGAGTTTAAAGCCTCTCGATCCGATGGAAAGGGCCGTTTAAGTATTATTACTTACGTGTCTGTAAGTTACTTGCTAAGGATAGATGTGGTGCATAGTTAATCCCACGTTTCATCTCTTCATTCCTCCATTTGGCGGTCGCAGACGCGCGCGACGAAATGAATATCCTATTGATTGGATGGCGATGAAAGCAATTTCCGATTACAATGCCAGGGGTCATAGTGTAGTACTACGTTGTGACTTGCTGTAGCGCCGCCCAGGAACTGCCCTCGATTTTCATTGGTACTCAGGCCCTATACTGTACTAGTCCCAGGAGCTGGCGCTTACTGAAACTGATGAATAAAGGAAAAGGAAAAAAAGAATGTTTCGCACCATTTTAGATGACGAGCTATTTTTGGAAATCATTCCTGCATTTGATGAACCAAATCTATTCTGGCTCCGTCAAATAGTTTTCCTTCCTAGCGTTACAAGCAGCGGTTCGTTTATGTTAATCGCCGTACCTCTGGTTCGTGGTCACTTGACTTCATTAGTCATCGAGCGATCCCATTCCTCAAATCGCTGCCCGTCACGACTATTCTTTTCCCAGCCTGACTGTCACGTTCCTCAATATCTCATCTCGACCCCTGATACTTCGAAATCAAGCAATGGGTTAGAACCCCATTCACCCGTCGTAACATGAATATCTTTCCCGAGTCTAGCTTTTTCAAAGAGAGACGAGCCTCTGCACTCCCTGCGCCAGTTGAAATAAGAGCCATCAACAAAAATTCTGGCAATCTTTACGCCACAAATTTCAACCGTCCCCCTCCTGTCAAGATACCGTCTCTTGGACTGGTGGTTAAGTACGGAGCCGACGTGACCGTGATTGAGGCTCAAACTCAAATGAGAATACGCGAGCAACTACAAGGACAGGTACCTACTCCTGAGATTTTTGGATGGACCGAGGATGAAGGACAGGTCTTTATCTACATGTCCTTGATTGAGGGTGAGACTTTGCAAGAGAGATGGAGAGGCATGGATGAGGCTGAGAGACGGGCCGTCTGCGAACAACTTCAATATATTGTGAAAACATGGAGGGCCTTAACGCAGGACAAGCAGGACTGTTATATCGGTACGTGCATTCCCTCGGATTTAATACATAAACAACCTTAATCTGAAATATACTCTACAGGCAGTTTCGGTAAGCAACCACTGAGTGAGGCATTCCTCGATGCCCACCCAGAACTTGCAGGTCCATTTCAAGGTGTGAACGCCATCCAACTCTTTCAAGATGCTTGTGGGATTGAGATCGACAGCGAAGTGCCTATCATCTTCACTCACAGCGATTTTGCCCCACCCAACATCCTTCTATCGCCTGGGTCGAATCCACAAGTAGCAGCGATCATTGACTGGGGTCAGGCTGGGTGGTATCCTGCGTACTGGGAATATTGTAAAGCACGACGAGTGAGAGTGGATCCAGAGTACTTTGATGATGCTCTTCAAGAAGAATGGCACATGAAATATCTGCCGATGATCCTGGATCCTATGGATGATGAGAAATACTACCACCCTTGGCTTTGGTTTGTGTTATCTAAGGGCATCTAAATAGAAGTGGGCTTTGTGAGTCAAAGCGGCCGTGATTGCTGCTCTTAAATCATGTGCGTCAAGCGTTTTCAATGGGTTCTCCGGGTTTGCACCGAACCTGCCAGCTGCCCAAGCGCGCAGCCCCCACCCTTCCCTTCTCCAGCTTCGCAATAACTCACCAGCGTTATAATAGATAATTTTCTATGCCAACCTTTCGAAGTATGCAAGTTGCTTATGAAATATTAGACAGTCAATTTTACTGCGTGTGCAGTGTTTATTATCCTATGAGAGATCATTCTTTAAAAGTCTCAGGATAGACATTTTTTGGCAGAGCGCCAGAGGCACCGTGCACGTCCAATTCGCTACTGGATGACCAAACATTGTGCCTTCTTGGCTTGTTACAATGTAGCCTAGTGGTCAATCCCAAGCAACCGCGATCCCTGGCAGTGATAAGATCCAGATGTGGCTGTCCATGGTGACTATTCATGCGCGTGCCACTGCAGCTTTTGGTCGCTCGATATTCTATAAGCTCTTTCTCACATCGTAGAAATATTGGTATCTCTGACGACGAATCTCAACTGTAGTCCCCTGTTCTGCATACCGCATGCTGCGCCCGCAGATCTCTATTCCTTTGATTCTTGGGCGATTTCATCGATAGTCAAATTGGGTTGAGGGCCATTGGCAGTATCGGTGCAAAGATGAAGCTTCGCAAAGCCTGGTGGATAGCTACGGCGTGTATTATTGAATGGAAAAGGGCACGTAGTGCCTGTAGGAATGCTCTCCAGATAAACATATAAATGACGGATACTGCCGGAACGGGTCTTACATTTTCCGAGAATATCTCAAGATGCACTGTCCACTCTGACAATCCAGTCATAGATGCTTTGCTGCGCTGTTGTCAATCCTACAACTCGGAAAGGTTATACTAGCGTGAGTAAGCTATGAAAATTCTCATCGTGAGGCAAAGATCTAATAAATCCCTAGCTTGCCATCAAATACATCCAACTCGCTATGGGCTGGATTAGGATTATCGGGACCCAGAAAATTCGAAATCCTACCCACCATTGGCGAAAGCATCAATAGCTTCCTGAGTGCATTCGTGGCAGCGGCGAAATAATCGCGCGACGTCCAATCTATCATTTGGCCAAGAGCAGTGAACTTCCTTCCTCTTTCGTTTTTCCATCTACGCGACTCATTTCTCTTGCTGGACCCGTGACAGGAAATTGATAATCTTCACAAAGTCAGTAACTTAGATAGTTTCATCCAAGGCTATCTTAGATCCCTCACCTGCCAACGCTCAACGTAGTTCATTAACTCAGCGTAGCGACCATACAGTATACAATCTTGCGTCTTGTACTGTGCTCTTCGGTGCTTAACGTTCCATTTTTATGAATCAAGACGGAAGGTTTTCACCGCAGCTTTAACCCCATCGATATTTTTTGGGCGCTGGGAAATTACCGCGGGTGAAAGCAGAAATTTGCGTGTCAATTTGATTAGTCGATACGCGTCCCTCAACTTGGCGAAGAAAGACCAGTAGTCCTTTAGATCCCAAAGCAACTCTGCGCTTCTCCCGTCTTCTCAATTTCAGGCTAGGATGGAACGTTATAACTCTCTAGGGTATGCATACCATGTCTTGCCCCGGGTTCCGACTCTCCCAAACTTCCTGAGGTCATGTTTCTTGCTATAATTAGTGCCTCCGAAGACATGAGGAAGGTTGAAAGCCTCTGATACTATATAATCAAAGGGATGGGAAATGTGAGGATATATATGTAATGAGGAATATCCTTCTCATTCTCCGTGAAGTCTCCCTGGGAGTTAGTAGTGCGAGTTCTGGGGGCTAAATCAACGCGTTGAATCGTATCATTAACGAGCGTCGTCCAGATAAGCCTGTACAATCAGTATATAGCTTCTATCTGATGACCCTGCAGAGTCGAACTTAGCCGATATCCAAATTCACAGAACTATGAGGCATTGAGTCCTCTCATCAATTCTTTGCTGTCACAACCATCACAGCGCAATCCGCTCTGACTCACTTTTACTTTTTTAACCTCTCGGCTTTCACTTCGAAGGGCGTATAATGGCAAATGGTGCTACGAAAGGGTGAAATCCAGTGTTGTTGAAGCTAGAGGTGTAACACAAATTGCTTTGGGGTTTCTCTTTACAGCTGCAGCTGAGCTGCAGAATTTCGATTGCGAAGCGAGGATATCTAACCGGCCGCACGTGGCCACCATGAGACTTTCGAACTCTCAATGTAACAAGGCGCTCGTCTTAATATCCGATCATCACTACTACGAAACCGGGTACATTCATGGTGACGGCTCTATTAGAGCTAGGAGCACACGCCTTGACCCTGGGGGTTCTCTTGCTCCCGGAAGCCTCTGAAATGTTTTTGGGAGCAAAGAAGCAGCTTCTAGGAGCCACCTACCCCCCAGGAAACTCGATGTAGCATCTGAGGTCTGCTATCCCGACCTCAAGGAATCAAAGCCGCGTTCCTGTTGACGACTTGTTGACTCCTGGGGCGATGATTTGGCCTCTTCCAGGCGGCTTTGGGATCAATGAGGGCTAGGTTGGCGTATAGCACGCCCTTCCATCCACCCTCGACCTTGTCGGCAGGTGTGGAGGCATTGGCTGAGAACATGGCGTTCCATTCTTGGCGGACGAACTCCTTGCGGCGGGTGAAGGGGGTGTGAGGCATCAATGGAAGCATGTGGATACTATATGATTTTGATTTTGGTTAGTGTGTGATCAGGGTGAGAAGGGCAGAGCGAAGGAGAGGCTGAGGGGATCCAACGACGCAGAGTTGTGCGCAGGGTTGGTGAAGGTGTTTTGTGAGGGCTTTCGACGATCTCGGAAGGGAAGCTATTGACTCTAGGACCATAAAGTAAGCTCCCAGGGGCTCCACAACTCCCGAATCTGGTCAATGTATTCCCAGAGCCAGTTCCGTATTCAGTCAGGAACGTAAGGCGAAGGTCCCAGGGGTAGATCTCGTTTTCCTAAGAATAGAAACAGCCCCAGGATCTCAAGAGTATTTCCTAGGGGATAAACAGCTCCTAGAAATGCTTTTGAGGTTCCCAGGGCCAACATATTGGTTCCCAGAGTAAGTTAACAAGCACGAGAGTTTGTCAGTCTCTTGCCTTTGGCTTTTCTGCCAACAATCCCCGCCTTCACGCGACACGGCTCCACTGAGATGAATCCTTCTCTGTTTCTTTGGTCACCGCCGTTAGGTATCATGAAAACAGACTTTTATCTACCACTATAGTTTCGAGCTCAGACATTTTCGGAATCACCGAAGCAGTCAATAGCTACTGGCTATGGTGTATTGGTGTCCAGCACTTACGAGATGAAACGGTCGCGTT